CATTTTGGAGTACGTGCGTTGGAGTCTTGCGTGGGGAGCTGCGTTGTGCCATCTTGCTCCCCCTTCTTCCTCCATCTCCATCTCTGTCACTAGCGGAGCACCACACCTGGTGGGTCCGCTACAGCAGCGAAGAGGTGGAAGGGCGCCTCAAGGAGGATGGCACCCAGGCTTGCCACAGGGCAGGCCTTGGGAAGATTTGGGCTTGGACCAGCGCATATGGCAGGAGCGCGTGGACCAGGGTTCAGTGCGTATTCTGTGGTGACCCGGCCCATGTCATTAAATTTTGTCCTAAGTATAGACAGGCCCGTTGGGCTGCCCAGCAGTCAAAAGGCAGTCGCCAGTAGGGGTTGCAACTGCCCCAACTTCAGGGCCATGTGGGGAAGCTAGCGCGCGCGAACTGAAAACTCCCAAACCACGTGAGCCCATGGCAGAGGTTGCAGGCCCGTGCCTAGTTAGCTGTCCAGAGACTGCTTGTGTTAGCGTCTCTTTAGGCACGTCCCTCACAGGTGTGGTAGAAGAGTTAAAGGAGAGGATGCCAGCCTAGGCCAAAATGAAGAAAGAGAGTAAAGGACAACTGATCTTGGTAGACGTAGAGGTGTTTAGAAGTAGAGTAGGGGCCACTCGCAGTTATATTAGTCGTAGAGCACTGAAAAAGTTGAGGCTAGGACTAAAAGTCCAGAAGTTAGTAGACCCCATAGTCAGTGTTCTCGCAGACAACCGCACAATGCGTGTTGAGGACTATGTAGAGGGAGTCCAGGCGTACTTTCGCCTAGAGAAGGATGGGAAGGTGGAGAAAAGTCCTCGCAGACAACCGCACGATGCGTGTTGAGGACTATGTAGAGGGAGTCCAGGCGTACTTTCGCCTAGAGAAGGATGGGAAGGTGGAGAAAGTTCTCCATTCCCTGACTCTCCTCGTTCATGATGACCTTCCTTTTGACATGGTGTTAGGAATGGATTGGGGAGAGGCAGCAGGGTCCACACTCCATTTGAGAGAGCATGACTGTAGGCTCCCTAGTCCGTCAGGCGAGGTTAAGACTTCCCGCCTGTTTCATGTGTCAGGTATAGACAACACCTTGGCACATTGCTGTCTCAGTGCTCCCGCGTTCGCTCGATTAGTGAAGAAAGAGCGATTAGAGGAACAGGTCTTTGTAGTTTATGTTAGACCTGTCACTGAGGCTAAGGAAGAGGTGACTTCCACGGATCCAACCATTGCCAAGCTGCTGGAGGAGATTAAAGACTTGACTGAGTCGCTGACAGTGTTGCGGAATGCTAGAATACCAATGACTAGCCCAATCAATGTCGCAATGCAGACCAAACATACATTGTGACGGGCGTGAGGCTGAGGGTGAGCCGAGGGAGAGGAGCGCCCGAGTTGCAGCATGGCGCCAGTTGTCCAAAATCCTACGGTACCAAAGTAGGGGTTTGGAAAAAGGGTGCCAAGCCGAAAACGGGATGCAGCCGAAACAGCAAAAAGATAGACCAGGGATCGAGCCCTGGCGAAGTTCGTAACACTATCCCCTCCCTCTAGAAGGCAACGTCCCGGCTGCCAAAAATCATGAAGCAATGCTGAAATCTGTGAAGGACGGGATGGGGCCGATCACTGGTTAACAAGTTGAAAGGGAAGAGGGGTATAATGTGGGTGGCATGGGCTGCGGGAGTAAGAGGGAACAGGGTTTGATACCGGTGAACAGAGTTGTCCTACTGATGAACTA